GCGTCTTATACACCGGTGCGTCTTATATTCCGAAAAATACGGTAATTCTTACTAAACTTACCTTCATAATAAAACCACAGTGAGTTGAATAAACATATTGGATGAATTTATTTTAATATTTTACTGATTATTAGAATAAACTATTTAAAAATAAGAACTCATACAACGGGTTAACTATACCTTATAATTAGTACAATAAAATACCTTATAATTAGTACAATAAAATACCTTATAATTAGTACAATAAAATACCTTATAATTAGTACAATAAAATTTAAAATATCTTAATGTAGATTACTGTTAATTCTTACGCTATATATATATGTGTGTGTATGTATTTAATGATTAATGTAATTATTAACTTGTTTAAGTATATGTTTCAACTAATTCTGTAATATTTCTGGTTTACTTCTTACTCACGTTGGGTTGGATATATGTGCATGCTACCTTTGTTTGATGATGTATCCTATATACAAGCTGGGTGTCATTCTGCTTGAAAGAGGAGGTTTCTCTCTAATTGGTTTCAGTATAATCTAACGGTGAAGGAAAGAGTTTCTCTATTATATAACCTGCATGATTAAATAATGAATCATAGCCACAAGTTACTATTTATTAAATGTGTAAATTTTCGTACATAAACCATAGCCACCAATGACGTATTTAATCCACGTATATATTTTTTTCTTAAATCGGTTGAAGTACTTGTTATATATAGAGCACTTATCTATAGATTTATTGTTTCAGTTGCTGTACAAAGTTTATATAATAATAAATACTTCCGATGAGAGTAAACTTAGAGTGAAACTAAAAATCAACATGACCATCAGTGTTACTAATTAAATATACTTTTCTTACGTATCTAATGTAAAGATTAGGATGCATTGTTTCATCTGTTGGGTTACTGTGAACGATATTTTCGGCCGTAAACACAATAATATCTGGAGTGTCAGTATTGCAAGATACTTTTCGCTTTATAATTTCCTTACGATAAGACGATAAATCAAAGAGCTGACAGTAATAAGTCTTTTAAATTATATATACTAACACTGATAGGGCATAATCCTAGCCTGACATATTTAGCAACCGGAGTCATCTTTCGTACTTGACATCTATAAATAACATCATAATACTAGCGCCACGTATTTAGCAACTGGGGTCATTTTTCGTACTTGTTGTCTATAAACAAGTGTCGATAAAATATTGCAAATCAAGTATACGCGATTTCAAATCTTCAGCTTAAGTTACTTTTTTTACTAGGGCGAACTGTATTAGCTCGATATATTATGTCGTCAAGAAATTAATGTCGCGTTTTGGAACACTTTCATTAACTCCCCCCCCCCCAGAAAACGTACATCGCGTATAATAGTTAAATGAACCGCCTATTAATGTAGCCTATATAATGTGTAAAGTTTAGTATACTCTAATTCCTTATAGTGATGGCACATCACGAGACACACATTCAGAATGTAATGCTGTTTGAATACAAGAAGGAAAACAACGCCTCTGTAGCCACAAATAATGTCAAAGAACTTTATAAAAATGTTTTACACGTTCGAAAGTGTCAACGATGGTTCAGAAAATTTCTTTCAGGTGACTTTAGCCTTAAAAACTGTAATGGCAGGGGCCGACATGTTGGAATTGATGTTGATGCTCTGAAGACGCTTGCTGAGTCTAACCCAAGGTAACACACTCGTGAAATGGCACTGAAATTGCATGTCTCTCATGAAATAATACGTAAACATCTAAGGAAGATGGGAAAACTCCATAAAGAAGGTGTTTGAGTGCCTCACGAACTCTCCGATGATCATCGTTTCCAACGTGGGAACGTTGCGTCGTCTCTTCTGGCGCGTAATGCGCGTGAACCATTTTCGGACAAAATTGTCACTGGTGATGAAAAATGGATTCTCTATGCGAATATTAAACGCTAAAAACAATGGCTCAGTCCTAGACAAAAACCACTTCCTACCCCAAAACCTAGACACCTTCCGCATAAAGTGATGCTTTGCATTTGGTGGGACATCAAAGAAGTAATTCATTTCGAACTCCTCAATCTACAGTCAGCAACTGGAACGTTTAAATCAAGCCCTTCATCAGAAACGCCC